CAAGGACTCGGGCCAGAGTGGAAGCCCTGTAAAGCGCTACTCCGACAGCGAGGTATCATCTCCGAAGCCGCGCTATGCGCCGCACTCCTGTCCGAACAGTAGGACATGGGCTCGAGCAGAACAAGCTCCGCGCCGTGCCGAGAGCGCCTCGCCTTCTATGCGGACAACCGAGAAGAGCGACGACAACCAAGGCGCCACTATTGCAAAATATGCAAAGTCTTCGGACACTCAACGGATCGATGCAAGTCCCGATCCAACTTCTGCCACCCAAATTCCACTCACCATAACAACTGGGTCGGCCGACAAGACGCTCGTCACTCTCAATCTCAGCATCAACAAGCTCGTTCCCCTGCACAGCATCAACTCCAACAAAATCAAGGATCTCAGTCAGGAACTCCCAGGAATATCATTGCGAATATGGCGACGCGACGCCGCCGCACCGCTGAACCTGATGAGGAGAACGAAGTGCAAGGAAGACTTCTGGAACCAGAAGAGGGGTGGAATAATCCCCTCACTGAAGACCACTATTACCTGTATGACGGGGACGAGCAGGATTGGAATCAACCAATCACATTGCGGAAAAGCCCGCCACACGACAATCAACACTACGTACCAGTGGGTTGGAAGGAGGACGAAGACCCTTCCTTTCACAGGCGCTACAAGGCCACTTTGGTGACTCCGCGATTGGCGCTACTCCTACGCCGAAACAACACCGACAACTATAACACCTGGTACCTGGACAGCTGCTGCGGACAGCACATGGTGGGATCCACGCGATACGTTTCTAACCTGAGTCGCGCTCCCGCAACCTACGTCACCGTCGCCAACAACGAGCAGTTGCGCGCCAACTCACAAGGCCTTGTCGTCCTGCAAGCACGAGACAGTAACACCCACATCTCATTCAACGACGTGCTCTACGTCCCGAACCTCCGCTTCAATCTGCTCTCGGCTGGACAGCTCCGCGACTGTGGCGTCATAATTCACACGAATCTTGCCACACGCGACCTCATCCTTACCTACGCTCCCCCGGACACTCCTCCTGAGACGTTCAAATACCTCGGACGAGCCCGCTCAATCAACGGGATCTACATCCTGGACTTTGACATACCTCCCTGTCAAGCATCATCGGACGAACTCGTGGACCTTGTTCCCCTCGAGTTCGCCTTCATGAACAAAGAATCATGGGAGCATCCGGACGGTCGACCGTGGATTCGCTGCAGTCCTCATCCCCGCGAGATCAACCTGCACGAGCCAGACATCAACGGGTTGTGCACAACATGCCACACACCCACGGCAAGTCGCACGGAGCAAGTTGAGCGGGAGTACGCAGCAATTCAGGAGGCGGAGAGCGCTGAGGCAGAACCTACAGGCATGACACGTGAAGAACTCGCCGTGTCATCTCACCGTATCTTCGGTGAGCCGAACAAGCAATTCGGGCAGCAGCGGGTGAACAGACCAAGGCCCTAACCGGAAACCCTCCGCTTCGTTCTAGAAGCCAACACCACCACCTTCGACGAAGACGGAGAACCGCGCCCATACACCCGCGAATACTACCGTCACGAGATTGATCCAACTTGGAAAGACCCTGACGCACCAGAGGAGCTGAGTGTTCAGGAAGAACGAGACAAGGTACGAGCGGAAAAGAAGCAAAAGCTGTATGAGGAGCGCATCGCGGCAGGATGGGACGAACAATCAGCACACGGAGGATGGGGCGACGAGGATACCAACCCAGAACACGGCGCAACCTGGGCATCCGCCACTGGAGCATTGGGAGCCAGCGCCAGCGGCACGGTTACCACAGGAGGATGGGGAACAGCCGAACCCGATGAAGGGGAGCTTACCCAAGAAGAACTGGAGGAAGCTGAACGCGAAATGCAAGCTGAGCGTGGCGAAGCACCACCTCGAGTCGCCATTCCCCTCGGGCGAACCCCCCGCACTGGTGAACCACCTCGCTCACCTCATCGCTGGAACGATCCCTGGTCGGAGATTGAGGAGGGGAATATACCACCAACTCCTCCTCGGGACTCTCTTGGTCCAATCTCCCGCCCAGATCCGTTTGCTCGCTTCATCGAAGGCACCACGACCCCGCTCACCATCATCCCCGACCGCGAATTCCTCGCGCTCTACCTCACAACGGCACCTGCAGAAGGGGAGGCAACGATGTTGAACTATATTTATATATGTTCTTTATAATTGTCTGCAGTGTAGAGTGTAGCACATCCCAATTTGCTGTAGGTGGTGCACCATGCTTCTCCTTGCTATATGTTGTACTCATCTTTCTTAGTGAACTCACTCATTCCTGCTTCAACTTTCTCGACACCTCCTTCAACCCTAAAACCTAAGCTACTAAGTTACTCTAGCCATGGCTTCTAAGCCCAACTAACTTCTGGATTCTGACATGGTATTCAGAGCAAGCACCTTCCTGCTGCCTTCCTTAACGGGCCCACCAGTCTGCTTCCGCTGCCTGTCATCCTGCCGCGCGCCTCGGGCGCGCGGCGTATTTTCCTCGCCGTGCGCCCGGGCCGCACGGCGATTTTCTGCCCGCCGTGTGCTCGGGGCGCACGGCGGTTTTCTGTGCGCCCCGGGCGCGCGGCGTCTTCCTGCCCCGCGCGCGGCCTGCTCTCACGCCGCCTGTGCGCCTGCCCCATGTCTGCGCGCGGGCCTGTTCTGCCCGCCCGTACCCTGCCCTTCGCGGCGCCCTGCAGAGGCGCCGCTCCTGCTCGTCGCGACGCCCCTGCGGGACCCGTGCGTCGCCGCTCCTGCTCGTCGCGACGCCCCTGCGGGACCCGCGCGGCGTTGCCCTGCTCGTCGCGACGCCCCTGCGGGACCCGCGCAGCGTCGCCCCTGCTCGTCGTGGCGCCCCTGGGGCGCCGCCCCTGCTCATCGCGGCGCCCCCTGGGCGCTGTCCCTGCTCGTCGCGGCGCACCCCCCCCTGGCCGCTGCCTCTGCCTCCCCTGCGCCCGCGCCTGCTTTGCAGCAGCACGCGGGTCTGCCCTGCACCAGCGACGCCGCCCCTAGAGCAGCCGCCCCTGCAGCAGCCGCCCCTGCAGCAGCCGCCCCTGGCCCCTGGAGCAGCCGCCACTGCAGCAGCCGCCCCTGGCCCCTGGAGCAGCCGCACCTGCAGCCGCCCCTGGCCCCTGGAGCAGCCGCCCCTGCAGCAGCCGCCCCTGGCCACTGGAGCAGCCGCCACTGCAGGAGCCGCCCCTGGCCCCTGGAGCAGCCGCCCCTGGAGCAGCCGCCCCTAGAGCAGCCGCCACTGCAGCAGCCGCCCCTGGCCCCTGGAGCAGCCGCCACTGCAGCCGCCCCTGGCCCCTGGAGCAGCCGCCCCTGCAGCAGCCGCCCCTGGCCCCTGGAGCAGCCGCCCCTGCAGCAGCCGGCCCTGCAGCTGCCCGCGACGCCGCTCCTGGACCCTGTGCAGCCGTGGGGGGAGGGTATGGGGGTGGCGGGTGTGGGGGTGATGAGTGTGGGTGCTACCCTTCCCCTCCTCCTCCTACTTCGTCTCCCACTGCTGCAGCTGGAGGAGGGGAGTGGAGCTAAGGGGGTGTCGTGGGAGTGGAGACAGGGGTGCAGCAAGGGGGTGTGTGAGAAGGGGGTGTGGGACTGTTAGGGGAGGTAGAGCGGAGGTCGCCGTCGTGTCGTCAGCAGCGCCAGTAGTCCGGAGCCCTCGTGCTCTCGGTAGCCCAGCGAGCCTGCTTCGCCAGTCGCCTGTGGGTCTGTTGCTCCTGCCGCTCGTCGTAGCCGCGGAGCCAGATACTCCCGTAGTCCGGTGCCCTCGTGCGCTCGGTAGCCACTGTGCGCGCCGCTCCTGTTGCCCGTGTGACTGCGGCTTCACCTGTCGCCTCCTATCTCCACTCCTCTCACAGTCCCTCCTCCTCCTCCTCCTCACTTCGCCTCTTCTTCTGTTGCGCCCTGCAGGGTGTACCACTTCAGGGGGTGTTCTGTACATGGTTCTCACTGCAATCAATTAGGGGGTGTGTTGAACTATATTTATATATGTTCTTTATAATTGTCTGCAGTGTAGAGTGTAGCACATCCCAATTTGCTGTAGGCGGTGCACCATGCTTCTCCTTGCTATATTTTGTACTCATCTTTCTTAGTGAACTCACTCATTCCTGCTTCAACTTTCTCGACACCTCCTTCAACCCTAAAACCTAAGCTACTAAGTTACTCTAGTCATGGCTTCTAAGCCCAACTAACTTCTGGATTCTGACAAACGACAGAAGCAGAAACAGAGGAGCCGGACAACGAAGCAGAACCAGGAGAAGAGGAAGAACCTCCACTCCAGACCCCGCAACTCACGGCGGAGGAGGCAGCAGAAAATCACACCCGCTACAAGCGTACCTCCGGCATTCGCGCCGAGGACGATCTCTGGCACCAGCGGATGGGCCACCCCTCGCGCCAGACACTCGCCAATTGCCTCCGCGCAAAAGTCTTCCCGCCAGGAGCACTGTTGCGCCCCGACGGGACGGAGTTACAGCACACCACCCCCCATCCGACCACCTGCACAGTCTGCCCCACAGCTGCACTCTCCCACACCGCCTATCCCTCTCTGGAACCGAGTACTAACCGCTACAAAAAGTTGGAGAAAGTTTACAGCGATTTCATCGTACTCACCTCGACTCTTCTAACTCCTCGACTTCGTACTCGGTAGAGTCGGCTCCTGCAGCATACAGGAATGCCTTACTCATAAAACTTCATATCGTAACAGTTTGGAACACAGCAAACGATTTTGTTCCCTTCTCATCCCTCGCTGCACCCCTTTTCGTTTCTCCAACCTCGTCAACCAATGGGAAACGGGGGTTTCCCATCAACTGCAAAACAAATGATCTACGTGGGACCCTGGTTTTAAGGTGTGTGCGTGCGTGAGGGCCTGGATGCATGCGCATGTCAGCCCTAAACCAAGTGTGTTGCTCTTCGAATGTCTTCGTTCACACGGCTCCTCGCTGTGTTGTTAAGGAGTGTATGCGAGCACTGATAAATTGATCACTACCACCTTCAATTCAAATGACATCTAGTCCATTCACTTTTACAGGAGCATCAGCTACTCCTACAATATCTTGAAGAACATCAGGAACACTGTAACTAATGTTATTCAATGCAATATCAAAATCAGCAGCATATGCTGACTCCACAATCTTGATAGTGTCCTGAGGCATGGCATGACAGTGAGGGGGAGCATTGAAGGGACATCATAAGACCATGAGTCGGCACGGCACAAAGGCAAGAGTTAGCAAACATGTTCGCTACTACCATACTTCAGATAATCCAAACAGAAGGGAAAGGCATTTACGCACTGTACCCAATCACTGCGAAGAGAAGCACAGCAAAGCTGCTAGACCGTACCTTATCATACGCCGCACGCATGCGCTGCTCCGCCCTTGTTTTGTGGAACTCGGATCCCAGCTTGAAAATCTTCATCGCGTTTTCTGTCGACCGCTTCAGCTTGCTCACCACCCGTAGCATGTCCTCTTGCAGAGTTTCGTATTTGCCAGCAATGTTGTATTTGATCATGTCCAGTCCGCACAGCTGTGTCTGCAAGCGTGCGGATTGAAAGAACGGCAAGGGTCACGGGACACATGCGAGGGGAAATCACGCCATTATGTAAAGGAAGGAGAACAAAAAGGAGAAAAAAAAAACAAAAACAAAACAAAACACAACAAAACAAAAACAAAAACAAAAAAGAATGAGAAGAAAAGAGGCGTCAACAACCGAGGAATTAGCCACAATAAAAGCCCCATCCCAGAGGCAGACTCAAGGGTAGAGATTTGATGCCAACAAAGCTGCATGTTGCATTGGACAGTAGCCTGTTCTTACTTTTCAAAAGCGACTCTGGTCTGACAGTGGGGTTCATGATAGATAATGGAAGCTATAGGTCCAAAGATAATGGAAGCTATAGGAACAAAGATAATGGAAGCTATAGGAACAAAGATCATGGAAGCTTTAGGTCCAATACAGTCACTTGCAGTCATGTACGGTAAGTCTGCTTTCGTACCTGTGTGGCAATATGTTTATCCCCATTACCGCCCGTTTCTCGGAGAATCTCAGCCACCAAGCGAGCGGAATCCTTGAAGCTCACAGTGCTGTTCACCGCGAACCCGTGGCGCTTCAAGCGCTCATGGCCCAACAACAGCTGCACGGTAATCACAAGGAGAGAGGCATGTAAGGCGTACGCAAGCAGTCTTTCGACACTGCTTCACACACACACACACACACACACACACACACACACACACACACACACACACACACGCACACACACACACAGGACAACAAGATCTGGACAATCATGCGCTGGTTCAAACACAGATTGGACAGATTGGTTCTTGAAATTTCCCAAAACTAGCTTGTCTCATGCATTGGTTTGAACTAAGAGATCCGGATAAGCATCGATTGCAATACCAGAATACGTGCCTCGCCTCGCCACACACACACCCACAGGGCACCTCCCCTCGATCCCCTTCCTACCTCCAGCGCAGCAACCCGTACAAGCAAAGCAGCAGCAACCCACCTCCTTCCGCATGCTGACATGGCATCTCATCTCGAATCCCCTCTCCACCACCACCACCGTAATCCACCCAATCTCACCAGACCAGCGCAGCAACCCGTTCAAGCAAAGCGGCAACCCAGAAACCCACCTCGTTCCACATGCTGACGTTGCGGCTCTCCCCACCATTAGCCAGCTTGTCCCCATGCGCGGACAGCAACCGTGGCAACGGGTTGCGCACAAACACCACCTTCACCAGGTCGCGCCGAGTCATGTGGAACATGACGTCGTCCTCTCCCATCTCTCGCCGCATGAGCGTGAGCCCGTTCACCCCCGCGTGGTGAGTGTGGAAGTAGGAGGAGATGTGCTTAAAGCCCCGCTCGCTGCGCATCCACATTTTCCAGCTCGTTGACGCCACCTTCTGAATCTGACAGTACATCACCCCCAGCTTCTCTGCAGTGGGGAGGGAGGATGGGGGAACGAGGGTGGGGAGGGTGGTGCGGATGGGGAAAGGGGGATTGAAGGGAATGGGAATGGGAATGGGAATGGGAATGGGAATGGGAATGGGAATGTGAATGTTTGCATGTTCTCATTGAGATGTTTTCACAAGGAGCATCGTGGGAAAGTAGGGACAAGAAAACGTTGAACTTGGACGTTCCTTGGGAATTTCAGCTGATGTAAGACTTTCATTGCTTCATCGTTTAAAGCTCTCAGCGTCAATCTCCCACTGTCCGTCTCCCACCGTTCATCTTTCGCCGTCCATCTCTCGCCGTCCATCCCCCACCGACCATCCCCCACCGTCCATCCCCCACCGTCCATCCTCCGCCGTCCATCCCCCACCGTCCATCTCTCACCGTCCATCTCTCACCGTCCATCTCTCACCGTCCATCTCTCACCATCCATCTCTCCCCGTCCATCTCTCACCGTCCATCTCTCACCGTCCATGATCATCTGCTGTGCAAACCGCAGGCTAGCGAGCGGCGGCAGCACGGGCGAGGGGCAGACAGCCGGCTCCACAGCAGCAGGGGGGAGGCCGAGGGGACCCCTCACAGCAGTGGCGAAGGCTGTGAGAAGGCGGGCCTCGGGGGAATCGTGGAGGGCGAAAAAGAGCGAGGGCGCGTGGGCCAGCGCGAGGAACTCCACGATCTGAGGGGTTGGTATGGGGCGGGGTGGGGTGGGGTTGGGTGGGGTGGGGTGGGGTGGGGTGGGATGGGGTGTTGAAGGGGAGCATTCGCTCATTGTATTGCGGTTGACCTTTTGGTAGACTTCAGATCTAACTCTACCTGTGTCACACCCATCCCATCCCACCACTGTTTCACCACGCACCTCTAGTTGAGCACACAGCTCCCTTCTTGCTGGTCCCCCAAGAACCCACTTCCACCACCACAAACTCTCCATTCCACCGCTCCCCCATTGCCTCCCTCCAAGCACACCGCCCCACCACCCACTCCTCCTCCCCCACTTCTTCCACCCCCTTCCCCTGCCACGCCCTCCCCACATGCCCCCCGCTCCCCGAACCTCTCCCCAGATACTCCCCCCCGCCCATCCCCCCCACCACGCCCCTGTTCCGCACCCCAACTCCCCCCTCCTTCGCGTTGCCTGCAGCACCAGTGGCGCCCTTGACTCGTGGAACATGCCGGCCGCAGCCAGGGCGGCAGCCGGCACTGTAGCAGCCACAGTGAAGTCGCGGTCCGGGCGGCGCAGGGCGGCGTAGGCGATGCGGCGAGCGGCGCAGGAGGAGAGGGAGTGGGAGAAGGGGAGGGTGCGGCAGTTGGTGCAGGAAGGGGGGACAAGGAGGGAGAGGTTGGCGGGGCAGCCGGGGCAGGTGTCTAGAGGGGTGTCCTGATGGGGGAAGGAAAGGGGGGTGGGGAAGAAGGGAAGAATATGGCCGTTGGTGCCGTGCAGGAGAGAAGGGGTTCGGTTCGTGGGGCAGGAGTCTAGAGAAATATCCTAATGTGGTGGGGAAGAAGGGAGCGGGTGGAGGAGGGAGGGGAGGGGTGTGGGGGAGAGTACGGGGGAGAGTGGAGGGGGGGAGAGAAGGGGAGAGGTGACAGTTGGTGCAGGAAGGCGGCAGACGGGAGCAGCTGGCAAGGCCGCCTGGACAGGAGTGTGCAAGGGAAACCTAATGTTTTGGGTTTAGGGTAACGACAGAAATTTGCAACATTTTTTAGTTAAGAGTGAGACACTTCCCCACATGAGACACAATTTTGCTCACCTCGAGGAAGACTGCGGTGGATTGCTGCACACGTGGCAGGTCCTCTGCCGCCAGCTGGCGGAGGATGTGCTGAGCTGGACGGAACGCCTGCAGGCTGGATGCCAGGTCAGCAGCCGACCAGCAGAGGTGGGTCTGCAGTGGAAGGAGAGGTGGGAAACGGAAGGAGTAAGGATATTATTAGACGTGAGAAATAAATTGTGGTATAGTTTGAGAGGGAAGGGAAGGAAAGGTGTGCGGTATTGTTGAGAAAATCCAAAGATACACGTCACATATCACATACACCTGAAAGTGATGCCAGCGCACACAGTCCAACAGCAGAATTCCCACGACAAACATGCCTCTGAAAACATCTCAAAAGCCCCTCCCTGCTGCACATACAAAATACCACATGCCGCACACATCACACATCACACACCACACACCACACACATCACACACATCACACACATCACACACATCACACACATCACACACATCACACACATCACACACATCACACACATCACACACATCACACACATCACACACATCACACACATCACACACATCACACACATCACATCACATCACATCACATCACATCACATCACATCACATACCCCTGAGGGTGCTGCCAGTGCACGGTCCGACAGCAGCATTCTCACGACAGACATGCCACTCCCGCTCCCGTTCCCGCTGCCACTCCCGCTCCCGTTCCCGCTGCCACTCCCGCTCCCGTTCCCGCTGCCACTCCCCTTCTCGCTCCTGTTCCCGCTCCCAACACCGCAAGCTGCTGCTTGGCGAGCGCTGCTGCACTCGCCGACACACACCTGTGTTGTTGCGAGCAAGCGGGGAGCAGAGTGGCGCACGCAGCAAAGTTAGGATGGGACACACACAGGTAGGTAGACAGGGTGCCATGAGCTAAAAGTGGTGGTGGAAAAAGGTACGGTAGGATGGAATGATGGGCCAGGGGAAGGTAAGGGGGACGCTGTCACACAGTGATTACACAACCCAAATCGTTATATCAAGTGACACATCCCTGTTCTGTTCTGCTTGCAAGCGCAAACCACATTTCCAAGATTTGATTTGACGCTTGAGTCGACTCAAAAGTCGACGGAGCACATCACTGTTCAGTTTTCAAAGACAAAACACAGTCTCCTCTTTCTCCTGTACGGATGGGATGGTAAAACACCATTCTTCTGCTCAAGCGAAAAAGGGTAAGTTACCTCTCTGTACGAAAGCGAGAGTTGCTGCGCCTGTTCCAGCACGTCCACTACACATGCCGTGGTCACATCGTCGACAGAAAACCTGTCAAGGGTAAGAACAGGGCCGCAGTTTTGAGTCAATTCAAAAGCCTGTTCCAGCAGGCCGGTAACACATGCTGTTGTCACATCGTCCACGTCCACAGAGAGTATGGCAAGGGTGAGAACAGGGCCGCAGCAAGCAAACAACAAGACCGCAGCAACAGCAGCAGCAGCGGCGGCGGCGGCGGCGGCGGCGGCAGAAGCAGCAGCAGCAGCAGCAGCGGTAACGGCGGCAGTAGGGGCGGCGGCAGCGAGCTACGTTGGAAAATACGCCCTTGGGGGGGGGGGGCGTATTGCGTAAATACGCTAGCGTATGTACGCAATACGCTAATACGCCTAAAAATCGCTAAAATACGCCGGGGCAGCCCGTATATATATAAAAATAAATAAATAAATTTAAAAACAAAAAAAAAAACTTCCAAAAAAAATGCGAGAATTTGCGACGGCGAGAATTGAACCCTCGACCTCGCACAGCACCCAACCCCTGTCTGCAATTCGAAATTCAAAATCCAACCCCTCCCACATCCCCAACCTCACACCACCCCTCTCAACCTCCTAAACCCAACCTCTCCCCTTTCACTCGTTCGAACATCTCCTCAATCCCTAAGGACGCGGTGAAAGTGCAGAATCGATCGCTTCAGGATCGTTTTTTAGCGCGGTTATAAACGGTTTTGTACTTTTCGTATGCTAGACGCGGGGTTTCAGTGCGCTGACGGGATCGATCTCCCCTCGATCGAGCACTTTTACCACGTCCTAAACAGCTCGTCTTTCATTCAATCCCGCATTTCTCTTCTTGCATTTCGTCCAACTCTCGTCGAGCTCGAACTCTCATAGCTTTAGTACTTCCTCGCCTTGGCGACCTCTACTTCCTACAGTTCGAGGGCGGAACCTGCCCGGGAAAAAGTTTTACCTGCCCGCCCAGCGTATTTTTGCGTATCAGCAGTACGCCAGCCATGGCGTACCACGTATATACCAAGCGTATAATACGCTAGCGTGTAATACTCGATACTCGTATTTTCCTACGTAGGCAGCGAGAGCAGCAGCAAGAAGGGACTATGGGTTGATGAGGGAACTGGTTTTTGCACATTGGTCATGGATGGAGCATGTTTGTCTGCATGTGCATGTGCATCTGCCTGTGCAAGTGCACATGCGTGTGCGTGTCCCTGTCCCTGTACCAGTTCCTGTGCCTGTGCCTGTGCCCGTGCCCGTGCCTGTGTGTACTGCTTACCGTTGGTCATACTGCAGAGAAAAGAGCGAGGAGAAGGAGGAGCCGCCATGCAAGTGGCCGTCGAGCACCCACAGCGCCTTGACAGACAGCCCTGCCGCCATGGCTGTGCCGCGCACCCCCGCCAGCGACACCAGGCGCGCTGCTGTGCTGCCCTGGAGGGAATCGGAAGGGGAGGGACATGTGATAATGAATTTGTTATGCGACGTCTCAAAACGAGTTGCTGTCGACCTTCCAGCCTTCGCAGACAGCCCTGCCGCCATGGCTGTGCCTCGCACCCCCGCCAGCGACACCACGCGCGCTGCTGTGCTGCGCTGGTGGGAATCGAACGCGTGTGAGAGGAAGGAGGAAGACGGAGGGGGAAGAGGACCGGGGTGGGAAACAACCGGGGTGGGTAAGAGTGGTGGAGAAATGGTGGTGAAGTGCAAGTTCGGGAATTGTTGTGAGGTAAGGTCAATGGCATGAGACGGTGTGATGATGGGATGAGAAGGTATCATAGAGAAGGTACTCTGGCGTTCTATCTTCTCCCAGAGAAAGCTTGATGAACTTGCTCGCCCGCAGGAGGCGGAGAATGCACATCCGAGACAACAACCAGAGAAGGGTCACTAGACGTCAGCGCACCTCTGATATGACCACAACGTGCTGACATTGGAGTCGACTCAAAAGACGTCAGCGCACCTCTGATATGATCACAACGTGCTGACATTGGAGTCGACTCAAAAGACGTCAGCGCACCTCTGATATGATCACAACGTGCTGACATTGGAGTCGACTCAAAAGACGTCAGCGCACCTCTGCTATGATCACAACGTGCTGACATTCGTGCTGGGACAGCCACGTGCTGGAATGCAAACTTAGACTGGAGAATTATATATGCGACGAGGAGACAAGAACATGATTCGCTGGACGCGAGCGCACCTCTGTTATAATCACAACGTCGTACTGGGACAGCCCGGAAAGCACCGCCGCGCAGGGGGAGCCTGCACCCGACTCCTTGAACGAAAACCCGAAGCGATCATGCTGCTGCTGCTGCTGCTGCTGCTGCTGCTGCTGCGAGCTTTCAATCGGTCCCCCCCGCCTGCGATGCCCCGCAAAACCGCCGAGGAAACCGACAAGAAGCGTCCCGAGCAGAGCAAGCAGCAGCAGCAGGCGTTTGTCGCAGAGGGAACGCGCGGAAGCCAGCGGAAACAGCAGCAGAGCGGCAGAGGGGCGGCGTGGAGGCGTGAGGCTGCGGCGACGGCAGAGCGAATGGCGACGGGATCCGCCATGGCTGCTCGCTGTGGCTGCCGCCGCCGCAGCGCCAGAAGCTTGGGCTGCTGCGGCGGCTCCATGATAGAGCGGCAGCGATGAGTCCAATAGTAGTACTGGATTCAACGACAATGACGATGGTGATGGTGATGATGATTTTGATGAATCTGATGATGGTGATGGTGATGGTGATGAAGCAGCGATGCCGGTTGGAGACTTGTTGACAGCCACAGATGCAGGCAGGGATGCCCTGCGGGATGGGGATCCATGCGACCTGCCACGGATTAAAAGCAGAGAAGCGTGTAGCGACACGTACGGGAACAGAATGGTAGCATTGGAGGTAACAGCAAAGTGTCAGGGAGAGAGATTGATCATTGGTGGTAGCAGGGAAGTGTGAGGGAGAGATTGGTACCACCTGTACGAGACTTCTGGCTTCTGGCGTAACAAAGCTGCGTAATTGATGGCTTATGTGTTATGACGTCCAGCCTTACCATTATACATGATGCATGATGCCTGATGCATGACGCATTATGCATGATGCATTATGCCTTATGCATGACGCATTATGCCTTATGCATGACGCATTATGCATGATGCATTCTGCGTGATGAATGATGCCTGATGCATGATGAATGGTGAACGCAATCCAATGATGACTAAACGGATGCACAGTAGTGCTGAATGGTGGATACAGAACATCAACCCTGAGAAAAAATGCTGGGGTGGGGAAAGAAAGAAGGGGAAGAGGGGGGCGGAGGGGTGAGAGAAGGGGAATGCCGTTTGAAGTGTCCTGGGACCTGATAGACTTGCAATCGTATTATTCTCAAAGCCGAGAATTATGCTCTGTCACACGCACGTTTTGAGGCGCCTCAAAACTAGAATTATGCTGTCACACGCACGTTTTGAGGCGCCTCAAAACTAGAAATATGCTCTGTCACACGCACGTTTTGTGATGCGCCTGGGGCACCAGGAGGGCGCCATAGATGCTGCTCATATCGAGATTAGCAGTAATCCGCGAGCTCGTCGGCAGCGCCGTCGATTGAACCCACTCGCTGTCTGTCCGTCTGTCTATCAGAAGCCGTTAGAGGAGATCCGCCAATCTAAACTAAACAGCACACACCCTCCTGACTGGAGAAAGGAAGCTGCTTATGACTGATTAGCGCGGAAAGCGAAGATCATATTAGGGGCGAAGCGAAGATCATATTAGGGCCCTTGTATCGCCCGGGGCGACGTTTTTGGACGACTGGAGAGGAAGAATATGTGCTCGTCACCATTCATGCGTGATTAATATTAGCCGCTAATACACGTTTTCCGGTAGTAATATTATTCAGAAACCGGTGGTGCGCGCTCGTGAAGGCAATGCTTACCGCCGAGGGCTCAGACGACAGCTTTCCGGCGCTGATATCTGCGCTTCTGCCGTAATCAGTTTCGGCACCGATTCTCGAGGTGATGTGAGTGCTTGCCTGAGAAACAACAGTAGCCGTTCGTCCTTCCGACAGATCGACGGCCTCCATCGCTTCCTGAGTCACTTCCTCCATCGAGTCGACTGCTGGAGCTACCCGCGGATGCCGCGCGAGGAGCCGCCGCCGCGTCGAGCCAGAATCGCCTCGGAATATCCGCAACGTAGCAAATCACCTGAATTGTTGCGGTTCGAGATCTTCCCGACAGCTGGAACTACCCTCGGATGCCTTGCCACTAGAAGAGCCGCGTCGCGTTATGGGGGCGCTAACTCGTACAGTACAGTGTCACCGACCGTCAGGTGATTCGCTAGATTTATCGTATGCTGCGGGTGAACCTGGCCGACACGTTGAATGCCGAACCGAGGGCACCACCGACCAACTCGGTACTGTACAGTACAGGTAGTAACTAGTACAGTACACTGTTCCGCCGTTGTTAACTGGGGAAGCATTTTCCCGGTTCTGCCCCCGGCAGGTTCCGATCATTGCTAATGAACCAGGCGCGCTTCGCAACTGGTGCATTTCTACCTTCCACCCTACTAATGCAAGAGACCGATTTCTACAAACTCTACCTCTTGAATTGGGGGCCATTTTCAGGTGCGATTTACATTTGCGTGGAAATCCAATCATGTGTAATCCGTGTTAGGGCGTATTCCTAGCTTCGTATCATCCTGGCTTTGTGTCATCCGAAACACGAAGCTAGGAATACGCCCTTACTGTGCTGGTACGAGCACCGAATTCAGATTTAGGTCTTGCTTTCGATAACAACTTTTCCATCCGATATCCGATTCGAAATAACACAAACAATCACAGTCAAACGCGAATTCGGATCACGCCAAGCAAAATGCAAATTGACCCCTCATATTTGTCCCATTTCGACGATGATAATTGCGTTGTACCAGGAGCTTCTTGAATATATATATATATATATATATATGCTGGATCGGCTGTACTGCTGACACAGGTGACGACGGTGTGCCTGGCAAATCACCATTCCCTTCTTGGGCCAACTCAGGTATCGACGGTTTTGCATACAATTGCATAGGGCTACCACACTAATTTGCATGCTATAATGTTGGCCCTCATCGTCGCTTGAATTGCAAAATAATTGCACTACGCGATGCGTTTCACATTTTGCTCAATCCTGCGGAATACCACCGCACCGCCCTCCCTGTTTTTTTATTTCTCTCAATCCCATGGACTGCCACTTGTTTCTACACCCGCCATTACGGTGCGGTTGTTCTGTGTATTCGGCTTTCTCGATGTTAGGGTCCCAAAAATCGGTTGTTTTTGCGTGATAACGAATCTAACGCAATCCCGATGCAATGATTGCATACCCAGCGTAGGAGTTGCCTTTTTGCGCGTCTGTAGCTATGATCCATACTAGCATCGTGATGCATAGTGGCACGAGAACGATAGATATTTTGTTGTTGTGTGTTATCCAAGTGTCTCTACAATGTTTCTTATCACCTGGTATAGCTAAGACTAGTGCCTTGAGGGCGCGTTACATCAAAGTAATGAAGACCATTTCAAGGCAAGATCGTCGTCTGCATACGCCACTCTGCATGTCAATTGTACCGTTTTGGACCAGTCGTTTCTTTTATTACTTTTATGGACGGTAGATATTTCCATGGGGTCTTGCATCATTGCAGAATGTACAACTGTACCGAACAAGATCAGACATAATCGCGTTATAATTTCTATACGTGGACCATCGCAGCGGCAAGCATTCCCTCACGCACCTGAGTAGGTGACAACCTAGACGGCACTGTATTACCTGAATATCCATAAAATAAAACAAAAACAAGGAAGGTAGGGTTAACCATGCCTGTTCGAGAATGTAACTTCCAGCGAAACTGTCTCAACACTCTTTCCAGAGTAAGTGTGAACATACCACGAAAGCGTTTGTATTAGTCCATGGAATTGAGAGGTATTTAAAAACGTGGAAGGCGGTGCAGGGTTAGTCTACAGGATTAAGCAAAATCCCAAACACGTCGCGTCGCGTAATTATTTCTTGAATTGCTGCATCGAGCTCAGGCACTCTATTCGCTATTGTGCACCTACAGTAAAGGTACAGCGGGAAAAAATGTTCGCGTAAACAGAACTGAGAAGAGGTAGGTACACCTAACCACCGCTATTTTCTTTCGGTCTATTTTCAAGCCCACTTGCGCAAGTGGGTATGCACCCTTTCTGGAATCTTTGACCGAGGGTTGTGTGGGCATCAGAAATTTCACACTATTTCACAGTGAGTTAGTTCCAGACCCCCAAAAAGAGTAGAAGTGGCACAAGGGAATTCGCAACAGCAAGAGTGCCCCTTCACACGAGCGGTAATTGTCTCAGATTAGCTTTCATGCGTTTCTTAACATTGAAAATCGGGGTGCTTCATAGCCCATGTTGATCAAGTGCCCAACTGAAATAGTTGAATGTGTGCAGGGTATCTTCGAAACGCGGGAACAGTGGAAGGGTTTGGGGTTGAAATTAGCGGTGGTTAGGTGTATACTCTGTTCCACTATGTCACTTGGTGCACTATGTTCAAAACCAGACAGTGCTGCTTTGGTCGGTCACTCCGTTTTGGGCAACCCTTCCAGCGGCACAGCCCTCCCCTTCCTACTACTGCACCTGTCCCTCCCTCCTGCCTCGCTCGTCGTAACCCAGCCGCCCATACTCCTCCCTCGGATCCTCCAAGCTGACCTTTGTAACTTGGTTGGAGAGAATCGAAACCCCCAGCGCCGCCTAGCAGGGAACGCGCGACGCGAACCCTGCTTCGCCGCCTTCCTCCGAAAGCCCAAGAA